TTTCATTAAAAAGTCTATGTTGTTTGCCATACATCTTTTTGGTTGCTTCAATATTGGCAGGATTTATTTCTGTTTTTTCGGCATTCCACTCACAGCAGGAACAAGGAAAAAAGATTTTTTAATGTCATTTCCTTCTTGAATAGTTTCTTCAGTTAGTAAAGTTGGGCTTGAAGAATGCTTGTCATGTACAAAGTAAAAAAGCAGTATTCGTTGTTTTTTATGAGACGGTTCCGTCATGACTCTTCGTAGCTATGAGGAAATACTAGTCGTAAGATTAGGATTTGTGAATTATGTAAAATGTGCTTATGTATAGATTTATATAATATTCATAATCATTAATCACTCCCTTGTGAATTGTAAAACATTGTTCAAAGCAAACACATAAAGTTATTATTTCAAATACAAAACGTTAATTGCTCCCTAGAAGCTCGTAAAACGTGATTCGAAGCAAATACGTTAAGTTAGTATTTCTAAGTGGCTTAAAGTTGTGGTTTAAAACAAGATAAAAACTTTTAAAATAATAGTTTTACAGACTTGAAAAAAGGAGGGGGAGGGGGTTATAATACCAAAAGCCCCCACACTTTTAAAAGTGAGGAGGCTTTTGGTATTATAGCCCCCACTGTTTCACCATCCCTGCGTCTGTGGAACTCGATCCTGAATAATGGCATTAAATCTATAACTACAATTAAAACTTTTAAAGTTTAAAAAAAGTTTAAAAAAACTGTGAAAAAACATCTAACCAATATAAACATTTTTTTGTATTTTCAGTTTGTTTTGTTATGTATTTATTTATCTTGTTATATATTTACTAATATGTATGTGTATGTTTAACTCTTAAATATGTAAGAACTAATTTTATACGTATATATATTTTATGAATTTAAACGTTTGAGTAAAGTAAACTATTTCACTACCTGAGAAGCAAGGTAATAAGATGTATTTTCTTTTGCTTGCTCTTGTCAGAATTTAAAGAATATATGTATATATTTTTTTACAAGTACATTGTAAAATTATTTGTTTATTGACGAAATATATATACAAGTAATAAATAAATAAATGAAAAATTTCCACGCATCAGGATATTTACCTTATTACCTTATTTGCAGGATATGCTACAGTTACAGAAGTTAATGAAACGTCATAACGTAGGACTTTATAGCTTTTGCTTTGATGATGCCGGTATAAAGTACATCGCATTTGGTTGGCAGTAAAGCAATCAACGGTGAGATTATTGGAACATTTGTTTACTCTGCTGGATATAATAACACTGAATTAAAAGACCCCAGGTCTCAGCAGCCTGCTTTATTAGAATGTTTAATGATAGAGAACTAATAATCCATGCCATGTCACTATCAAAATATCTGTCATTTTGCGTGATTTTTTTCACATGAAGCATCCTCCGAGAAATCAATGTTATCCATAGCAAATCATATAAACCTGTTTTGTAATACCCATGATAGAAAATACATGCCATTATTTGTTAACATTTTTTTATCGCAGCATTTTCTGAAGCATTGTAACAAGAGACTTCGGTCGAAAATTTTGAAATGTATGAAATTTGACAATCACTCTTTAAGGTTGACAGGATGTGTTTGCAGGATGTGTTATGACAAAAATTTCACGCTAGCATTATTCTTATTTTAACACCCCTCTGTTTGAAAGTCATTTGCTACTTGAATTGCATGCTTGCAAAAAAATCATTGTAGGTTTATAAAAACTATCAAAGGTTCCTGTGAATGGTCAACCCTTTAATTCACTCCTTTCTCTGCGAATTTTTTCAACCTTGATTTTAACTAAACATATCTAAATCTTATTTCATATCACCTGATCGAAGAGTTATTGCTTCTTCCTTAACTTTTGTAAAGAAATTGTAACTATTGAAATTACAAACAATCAAACTAAAAACATTTTACTAAGATGTTGTTATCGCCCACCTGACGGTGTGAGCGAAAACCTGAGCATGTTCTTGCAACAAATCATTAAAAAAGGAACCAATGGTAAAAAATAAAAATATATATAGTCGGAGGACCAAATACGAACTATTTTCTCTATAATGACGACAGTAAAATTGAAAATTTTTATGTTGCAATTTTTGAAACAGGGTCAGTTTCTTTAATAAATCAACCCACTAGAGTAACAATAAACACAGCAACTCTGATAGATAATATTATAACTAATAAATAATATCATTCCTGAAACTTAATAAAACAAACCCAGAACAAAAGATCAATATCAAAAAAGTAATAAGAAAATTTATAATGAGACTAACCTTAAATTAATTAATGACCAACTATCGTTACTGAATTGGAAAAACATAAACTTCGATGATAACGCAAATAATAATTATGAAACTTTTTTCAAAACGTTTTTTTCAGTTGATAAAGTTAATTTCCTAATCATAGAAAAAACAATAACAACTAAGAATATCAATACACCCTGGATTAGTAAAGGTTTTATCATTAAAAAACATCCAGAATAAAACAAAAATTATATGTTATTTTTTTTTAAACAAAAACAGCTTTAAGCAAAGAAATGTATAAGAACTAGAGAAACCTATTTTGAAAAATTCGCAAAAACCTGAAGAAAAATTATTACTCCCAATTATTCAATACATTTTAAAACGACACAAAGTGCACGTGGGAAATAATGAAAGAAATTATTAGCAAAAAAAAAATCCTGCCACAAATGGTTAGAGTCGATAACAAAAGTTTATATGAGCTAAAAACTATAGCTCAAGAGTTCTCTCATTCAAAGCATTATTTTATTGAAATGGGAATTCTGAATATATATGAGTTAAATGTATTTTATTTTATTATTTTTATGTTGATTTTAGGTGCCCCAAGAAGTCCTTACGGTCTTATCACAGAGCACCGCGGAAGAGCATTTAATAGGAAGTTCACGCCTCCTTCCCAACCGATGTCGCAAAACTTGCCCAGAGGTTTGACCCACGGATCTTACGTTTCTGAGGCAAGTGCGCTACCACTGCGCCACGGCTGCTGTAATATTTTATGTTTTTCATATACGTGGATAAATAACATATAATAACTTTTCAAATGAACCTTTTGTCAAACAAATTCTAATCAACTTTGTATTAGCTATCGAGTGCCACACCTTTAAAATAAAATTGTCTTGCCGAATTTTAATTTTTAAGTACCTATTACTTTTTGCCATTTAAAAAAAAAAAATTGAAAAACCTCATTCTTAAATTAGATAATATATTGAGTTTTTATTAGTCGTAAAAGTTAATATTTATTTTCTTCATTTTTATTGCTTACATACATGTTTATGCTTATAGAAGTTTAAAAAATATAAATATAAACATTGTATCTTCTTTCAGATACCTCGTTTATATTTGTTATATTTTCTATCAATGTAAGTTTATATTATTATTTTTATTATTGGTTATATGAAGCTGTTCAATGACCAACAAATGTAAACAAAACCTATTTTATTTAATTATTAGAAATAAATCTTGCTTTAAATTTTACTAATTGTTTATTAAAAATAACAAAAAAGTTTGAATAACTTTTAGGTATCTATTACTAAAAGTTTTTTAAATATTTTAAAATGGAGTTTGAACAAGGAAGCACTCTGGAGTCATATTCTAAATTTAAATAAGATTTTAAATAAATACATTGTTTAGGTGAAATGAACATCATTGTTTAATAATATGATCTGTTCTGATCGTTTATTGAGAACTTTTCTAAATTATAAGCTCTTTCTTGGTCGGAATAGTATTTATTGTGAAAATAGAAATATTGTATTTTGACAACTATATATAGTTAATATACGTCAGAACCGATTAGAACTAGGATCTATAGTGGGTTAAGGCACTTTTTTAAAAAGATTTCAACTAAGTTCATGTTAAAGCCCATGAGCGAAATTGATATAAAACTCCAAAATGGTGTTCTTTAGATTATCTATTAGGGGTAGTAAAAAAGTTTTGGAAATTATATATAAAAAAGAAAAGTTTTTTTAAATATCAAAAAAACCTGAAACAAAAAAAATTATAACATCCAAAGCTCTTGTTTGGACGTAATACGCTTATAAAATCATACTAACTTCAAATATAAGAATTCGAATAATTTGAATATCGCCTTAAATACACCGAGTACATTAATAAAGAAATTCTTTAAAAGTATATATTTTTAAACATAAACCTTTTATTTTAGTATTATTCAAAAAATTTAAATAAAGTTTTTATCATTTCTTTACTTAAAAATATTTTAATGAAATTTCAGACGGTGAATACGGCTGTTAACGGACTTAAGTGAATACGGCTGCAAGTCGTAATTTGTCAATTTCAGCCACGCGCTTCTTATTTTTAAAAAACGCGTAAATGCATTTCTTTATTTTAAAACGCGTAAATGCATTTCTTTATTTTAAAACGTGTAAATGCATTCGGTTGGCATGCGCAAACTTGTTGTGAATTGATTGTAACAGAAATAATAAAGATGCTCATTTGATTTTACATTCATGATTAAAATTGTATTTATTCATGAACGCATCATTTACCGTTAAAAAAAAGTAGTGAAAATAAATTTAGAATTTAATTTAATTTTTCTCAAAAAAATGGAAAAGAGATCGTCCATAAATTACGCAACGCTAAATTTATTTAAAAAACAGAAGATCTTTTACGTGGCAATTGTCTTAAACTTAATGAGCTTTTTTACTTTTAATTTAACTTAAAGCTTTACAAGGGAAAACTTTTGATCGTTTTTTTTTTTTTTTTCATTTAGATGTCCCAAGAAGTCCTACGGTTTTATCACAGAGCACCGTGGGTGAGCATTTAATTGAAAAATCATGCCTCCTTCCTAACCGATGTCGCAAAACTTGCCTAGAGGTGGGGTTTAAACCACGGATCATTTGTTTCAGGCAACCGCTGCGCCACGGCTGCTCACGGCTGTTATTGTTATGTTTACGAGTAAAATTTAGCGTTGCTTAGTTTATGGACAATCCTAAAGGAAAAATGTTGATAAAAAAAAAAAAAATCTTTTTTAGTATAATTAAATATAATTAAAAAAATCAAGCAAAAGCTTATAATTAAAAAGTATTCATTTATGTAAACGTAAATTCGTTCTTCATAAATCTTAAAATTGATAAGCTTTCATAACTGAATAAAACGTTTTTTGTCTCATTGATTTATTATTTATTTCTAAAGGCTCATTTTGTAAAGAGCCAACTGTTTTGCAAGTATTCGGCGACAAAATAGGATCGTTGCTGTCGACAGAAACACGGTCGTCATTTTGAGATAACTTTAATAGTTCAATAGAATAGTTTTTTGACTTTTTGTAAAGTGCTTCCGTGATACTCTCTGGTATATCAGTATCCTTACATTCTTGGTAGTAAGGTGTCGATTGAATTGATTTAAATTTTGTCAATTTAACTGATGTTGAATCACTGATGGATAGTGCGTCTTTGAAACGCCAACGCTGATGAGGATGAATGTTAGAAGAAAACCCTACATCTGTTGTACCAGTTGATTTTGAGGAAAGATAATTAATTGATCTTTGTTTAACTTGTACATACTCTCTTTTAACTTCGTTGTTCAATAAACAATAGCATATGAAGATGAACAGACCTTGAAATGAATTGGTTGCAGTAAAAATGTACTGGAATATAATAGTTTGTTGGTTGATAGCTAATAAACCAAAAACCCATGTTAATCCAAATATAGGCATTAGTAACAAAGTTAGTCGAGCCATTTTCCTAAGTCTTTTAAACTCACCGGGTTCAACAGTCATTTTTAAAGATGCTTTTAACGTTGATGTTAGAATCACACTGTTTATAATCATAATCAACAAAGAAGGTGCAGCAAAAAACCATATCATGTGGTTTTCTGTTGACAACCAACAAAAGTCTTGACGAACAAGCTGTTTGTGAAACTTGACACCAGCTAGTGCAACAATTAATGCTGGTAATACTGTAAAGATAAAAATTTTTAAAGTTTGTAAATTTGTAAAGATAAAATTTTTTATTTTATTTTAAATTCACACAAAACTACTTTAAAAGAAAACGTTTATCAAAGTGATAAATTAATTAAAAACATATATATCACATAAAAACATTAAGAAACTAATGAAAAAAACAGTGCCAGATAAGGCTAAGGCACAGTTTAAAGGGCTGATTTAAAATATATATATTTTTTAATTAGTTATTTTAGGTGCCCAAATAAGTCCTTACACGGTCTTATCACAGAGCCCTGCGGAAGAGCATTTGAAAAGAAGTTCACACCTCCTTATCGATGTTGTTAAGCTTGCCTAAAGGTGGCGTTGAACCACGGATCTCTAGTTTCTGAGGCTAGCGCGCTAATCACTGCGCTACGGCTGCTCAAATGAACCTTGAAATTTCTGTTTATTAAGACAGGGCTAAATACTATAAATGAAATTTAATGGGGCACTCTCCTCTGCAATAACTATAATTAAAATGTGTTTGGAAAAAATCTAATCTAAAGTCCACATTGATTTAAAATTACCTAAAATAACTTTAATTAAAATGTGAAAATTCTTGCGGTTTTAAATAAATAAAAATCAACAAAATCTCTGTGTGTACGATTGAAAAAAAAACCTGTGTGCGATTGAAAAAAATCTCTGTGTACGATTGGAAAAAAAAACCTGTGTGCCATTGAAAAAAAATCTGTGTGTGCAACTGAAAAAAAAATCTCTGTGAGCGATTGAGAAAAAAATCTCTGTGTGTGCGATTGAAAATCTGAAAAAAATTTTTTAAACATAAATGAGAAATCAAAATTTGACAAACCAAATATTTTTTAATCAATTTTAAATTACAAGTTTAACACTACAAAAATTATTTTACAAAAAGAAACTTTTGTGGAGCGGTAATATTCAGTTGCCTCGATAGGCCAAAAATTGAGCTAAAAATAATCAAGTAACCTTAGAATCTGTAAATTGCTTGCACAAATTCATAACCAGTTATCATTTTTTAACAACAAAACTGGAATTCACTTAATACAAATACTCCTTAATAAAATAATAAACCCCCTTAATTTTAAGTATTTAAAATATTTATTAAAAAGATTTTAACATGACAATTGAAAAATCCTTATTGCAACCTTTTTTTAAACTCCATTTTCTTTTAACATCCATTTTCCATTATCCATTTGTATTTAATAGACAGTTGTCAATCAGCTAACCTATTGATGTTCCATATTGATAACCTATTGATGGTTCCATATTGACGCTAATGCTCTATTTCCAAGAACAATGTTAACATTTTATTTCCAAGAACGATGTTAATGCATAAAATACATTAATATAATTCTTAGAAAATACTATTTTTGGTGCATGCAACAAAATAATAAAATATAATAAAAGCAGAGGTGAAAATTGAAAAAATGAAGTTAGATCTGGTTTATAAAGGTAATATTGAAGCTAAGTTCAGAAAAAGAAAACATCAAATATAACCACAGTAACCATATTGTAATTGAATAATGAAATCAACGGTAATACTCCCTATTCAAACAGACTATAAAGCACAAAAAAGATGTGGTAAAAAGTGTACTACTGTGGAAGTCGAATTTCGCATTTACTGATTATCAGCTCTACGCTGTATCCAAACATGCTAAATATGTAACCTCGGGAAAAGATGTAACCTCGGGAAAATATGTAAATATGTAACCTCGGGAAATTATGTAAATATGTAACCTCGGTAAAATACGAATATATGTAACCTCGGTAAAATATGTAAATATGTAACCTCGGTAAAATATGTAAATATGTAACCTCGGTAAAATATGTAAATATGTAACCTCGGTAAAATAGGTAAATATGTAACCTCGGTGAAATATGTAAATATGTAACCTCGGTAAAATATGTAAATATGTAACCTCGGTAAAATATGTAAATATGTAACCTTGGTAAAAATTATTAAAGTATTAAATAAGTATTAAAAAACTGAAATAATACAGCGTAGATAAAAATATTAATATGCAAAATACATGCACACTTAGCTAGCAGACATACGTTGATAAAACGTTAGAAAAATGTTGAGCGTTGCGATGGCCCAACATCGACCGCCAACGCTGTTTTTATACAATTTTGGTTACAAATGCGACATCTCTAACAACCAAAAACAACGTTGGCCCAACGTTGCATTTTAAATCGGCATTGCCTAATATTTTACGTTGATTTAACGTTGTATTTTACGTTGGCACAATTTTGTATTTTACGTTGGCAAACGTTATATTTTAACTTGATTTATATATAGTATATTTAACTTTTATTGGAATTAAATTTATTTGTTTTATATTTTAGTATACAGTACTGGACAAAATATTTGCAACATCTCATATTGACTGGAATGGGGGAACTGTCCTGTTCAGTGATGAATCGAAGTTCAACATCATTGGGAGCGATGGCATTTGCCGTGTACGTCGACCGGCCGGAAAACGCCTCGATTTACGTTACTGCCATAAGACCGTGAAGCATGGTGGAGGCAATGTAATGGTCTGGGGGTGTTTTTCTGCTAACGGTCTAGGTCTAATACATTGAATCGATGGAATAATAGAGCGTTTGATGTATAAAAATATCCTGAAATATGTTATGTTACCTCATGCTGAATGGAATATGCCAATAAAATGGGTTTTTCAGCAAGACAGCGATCCGAAACACACTGCAAAAGTAGTAAAGCAGTGGTTTCAAGACAACTACCTATCGGTGATAGATTGGCCGCCTCAATCTCCGGATCTCAACCCTATCGAGAACCTGTGGGAGATCGTCAACTGCAGAATTAATCGTGAAGATGTTCGTAATAAGGATCAACTGTTTGAACAAATCCAAAAGGCCTGGGCAGCGATTCTACAAAGTTTCATTGATCACCTGATTGAATCTATGCCTCGAAGATGCAAGGCTGTGATCAACAACAAAGGATTCGCCATAAAATATTGATAGCGAAATAGAGCTTGATCAACATTTTGTGGAGTTGCGCTTGTTTTGTCCAGAAGGAAATCAACTTTTTTAATACTTTTGATTAATTTATTAATTTTTGTGTACAAATAATGAACTTTGTGATGAATAAAACTTGATGAACGTTGTTTCTAAACAGTTACATAGTTATTTCTCTAAATTGAAAAAATGCAGCACTTTTATATAAAGAAACTAAATTAGCATTATTTGGTTGCACTTGCTTTGTCCGATACTGTATATACACATTAAATATTATATATTAGTACGCATGTATAATTGTATAAACGTACATATACATACATATTTCAACCATTTCGATATATATCAAAATTGCTGATGACATTTATTTATATATAGTGTGACATCTGATTAAAGACGCGTTATTCATGTTTATTTTGTTTGTGGCTTGATATTTCGTTATATAAGAAAGATAAAATTATATTAGCAAAATATATTTCCACAATTAACTGATACTTGAATAAAAAATAATTCTTATAAATTACATAAATACATATTTGTATATCTACCTTATCTCGATGCAAACACAACTTTGATCTACCGTATAAAATCAAATGTTGTTCGAATGTATATGGATCAATGCTGATTCAATGTATATAATCCAACGTTAACCCAGGCACATCGGATTAACGTTGCGTTATAAACATTAGATCAACGCTGATTCATATACATTGGATCAACGTTGGATTTAGATTGGAAAAACAACCAACTTTTGCAATGTTTTTACATACGTTGGATCAATGTAATTTTGCAAACTGTTTTTAATCGCGTCGTTAGTAATGTTTTCATTTATATAAATACGATAAAACTAACATTGGATCAACGTTGTGTTTGCATCGAAGAAAATACATCGAGGTTCGCGATGTATTTATATACGTTGGCCCAACATAAGTGTGCTAGCTGGGCACTTACATATCAATAATTACAATACATAACCAATAAAAAAAAGAAAAAAGTACAAATAAAAAATTTAAAAAGCCAAGAAATTTTGTGTGGTTTTTAAAAAAATTTAAGCAAATTAAAAAAAAAAGAAATATAGTAATTTTATTTAAAGTATCATTATATAAAAATCATGCTTATACACAAATACCAATTAAAATATTTATATTAAAAATAAACATCAAACCAACATAAATAAATTAAAAAATACATTTTCTAATGGGTAAAAATTTCTCAAAAAACAAGGGGTTGCACCCTGCATCACCAAATTCGCTGAAATTTGGCACAAATGTTTAAAGATATAAGTTAGGAAAGACTAAAATTTTTTCAAAAAATTCTCAACCCTTTAAGATTTACAGCAAGTTGAAGTTAGTTATTTTTTGACTGAAAAAAGAGAGGGGATAAAGCCGGAAATATGTCAATTTACCATTACCCTTTTAACAAACTTGTAGTAATGTTGCGAAGCTAAAACTAGGTACCAAAGGAGTTTAAAACCTGCTGAATCTGAAAATCATAAACTTATATCTCTCAAAACAATAAAATATAGTTTATTTTTAGATCCACAAAACGCACTTGTTAATGACAATTAAAAAGGCCATTGACAACTATAGTTCTAGAAAAAATCTGACTGATGAAAAAAAGTTTTGGTTTTTGTTATTTTAAGTATTAAACATATATCTACTTTGCGAACCAATTTTTATTTGGCCTTATGTTTTATCAAGGAGTTATTGATGTTTTAGTTTTTCAATTTTTTTAAAGATATTTTGCAAAAAAAAAAATTGCAAATATATTTTGAATTTAAATACAATTATTTTTGTTTTGTAATAGCTTTGTAAAAAATTTACAAAGTTATTACAAAACATAGTTGAACATTTTATAAATTTGTTTCTTTTTACTTTAATTACATAATAATAATGTCATTTTCATTACATAATATCATGTCATTAAATTTAATAATATTATGTAACTTTTGTTGTTGATTGTTTTGTTGTAATAAAACATTTATTATCAATAAAAAAAGTAATAAAATAATATAATAATGTCT